CCTCCCTGGCAAAGCATGCATTAGCTAGCAAATGCATACAGAGCAGCTTGTGGTTAAGGAGCAAGCTGTCATACTGACACTTGAGTTGGGTCTGGATGCACAGTTATTAGAGCTTGAAGCAAAACTGAGGATGCTTGTCATGTAGAGCAGAGTGTACTGTTTGTTTCTGTTGTAGTGGAGACATGTTCCATTGCTGTTAAAAAGAATCTTAAGATGTATATGTTGCATGCTCTCACAGGGAATGTTATATTCAGCTTCACTGCTCACACATTCTGCTGTCTTTCAAAGACAGCATTTCTGTGGGCAAGTTTAGATTCAATCTTCTCTTTCCTCACTAAACATGTCCTCAGAAGGAAGGCGATTCGTAAGACATTTTGGTACAGGGTTTAAACACAGAGGCACCTGTTTGAGACCTATGGTTGAAAATGAGTCTGGCTGTGTAAACCATATATTGGCATAAATAAATCAAGTTCTGTAGCTGGTAAGACACTAAAACATAGCAAAGTGAGGACAGGTACATATATGGCCATGGGTTCTGCATGCTTTCCAGTTGGCTACTACAGCGTGGTAGAATATTGAGCTTTAGTATAGTCACTAAAATAACTCAAACCTGAAAAATGAGACACTGCAAAATGGTACATAAGAACTAGAATAGGAAAATAACCCTCTTTGGTAGTCATTTTTTCAGAATTGGCTGCTAGTTAAGTGAATCCCAAACCAGCTTTGCTTACAGCTGAAGCAAACTAATTATAATGCCAGAGTATTTTCTCTGAAGTTTTTCATTGCTAACAGAAGCATTAGCAAATATTGCAGATTGTAACATAATTGTTTAGCTTAAGTGTGTTTTAGGTTATGGGAAGCGTGATTGTTAAATCTATCCTTTGCAGTACATTTTGTAGAATTACTGTCTGGAACTTATAGATGAAAGATCAGATATTGTAAAGTATGTATTAGGTTTCATACTTTCTGTACACGAAGGAAATTAACAAGGTCAATGCCGCTTCTCCTACACTGTATTTAGAGCAAAGTTTTGCAGGCTCTTTGCCATGCACTGTAGCAACCCTTTCATGTGTGACAATATGGGAAATATGTAATTAAACAGGAGAAATAGTTTTATAAACTTTTTTGGTAGCATCTCTTACACTGCATGCACCTGAAAGCTCTCGTTCAGATGCTGCTACAGTCAGTGTTTCTAATTTTAATGGCAACTGAATTGGGCCCTAAAATTTCTCTATTCTTTAATTTCACAAACTTAGACTTAGTAGTATATAGGATTTACAGCTTATATGCTAATTCAAAACTAACTTTTTAATTCTTGAATAAAATAGATGTTTGTATGAGGTGCTGTAGCTCATAATATGGCTTTTGCTTGAACTAAAGTAAATGTCCATTGCAATGCAGAAGCATCTTAATAGTTTGTCCTTAATTCACCATATTGTGGTTTCGCTTATGCTATTATTACCATTTGCTTTTACTGTCAGAATTCCAAATGACATCAACACATATTGTGCCAAATAGAAAGCTCACACAGAGTATTTGGGTTTGCTTCTTTGAATACTCAAAGAGAATAGAACAGATTCCAGAATGGGCCAAGTTGTGCTTCCCTTACTTGAAGGTTTAGTAGAGCAGCTGCATGAGCAGCAACCAACACAATGAAATACATCAAAAACCAACTACCCTCTCCATCACCCAACAGATACCAAAGTGATATTCTTCTAGTAGCAGCAGATTTTAAGGATTCCAACTGCTACTAGAGTAGTCAAATTTGAGTAAAAAAACCCAGCCATTTCGTCACTTGAAGGAGACTAGATTGTTGTTGGGGCTGAGAAGCTAAAGTGATCCTACATAAATCAAAATAGTGATTAGAACACCAAAAGGGGTAATCTGTTTTTTAAATCAAATGATATGCTAGGCTAAATGTTAGAAAAATATATTGTAAAACATTTTATTGGTTCTCTCTTTAAACCAGTACATGATGTTACTAGTTTAGTGATCTTAGCATTCTACTTAAACAAATTGGAAAAGAAAATGCTTACCTGAGCAAAGCGCTGAGGACTAAAATTAATGGTGTTTTCCTATTGGCTCACATGTGTTTTCTCTTTCCATGTCTGAAATTTAATCAAGCAAGCAAATTCATAAAAACGTTCAGACATATGAGATAAACATACAAAATTTTTAAAAGTACTTTAGAGAGGTGAAGTATTATACAGGTTGAATCTCTGTTGTCTGGAACTCTGCTGGACCACAGATGTTGCTGGACTAAAGAGGCCCAGTGCACAGGTTGCTGGTGGTTGGGAACAGAGCTGGCTGGCGGGGCCAACAGGGCAAGCAGAGCCTGCAGGGCACCAGAGTCGGCAGCAGGCGGGGCTGGGAAGACAAGGGGGACCACTGGAGCTGACAGAAAGGGAGGGTCCCACAAGCGCCAGCAGGGCTGCCAGAGCCCACAGGGCTACTGCAGCCAGGGGGGCGGGAGCAGAGGTGCCAAGTGGTTGGGGGAGGAGCTTAGTGGGGAGGCTATCGCCACCCCTCCACCCAACCTTTCCTGGTCCAGCAAGATCCTGAGGGTTCAGGACCAGGTAAGTCCAATTTGTATAAATGTTAAACTCATTCTCAACATATGTCTGGTCAGGTAGAGAAATATAATCAACCTATGTAAGAGACCACCTTTATCAGGCATCCCCTTGTTCTAAGAAAGTTCCACACATTATCTCCCTTTTTACAGTTGCGTTCACTTCTTAAATAACTTCACTGGACAGGATAAGACCAGTATTTTCAAAATTGACCTTTAATTTTGGATGCTTTACTATAGGTAAGTAGTGCCTAACTTTCATAGGCAGAAAGCAGTTTTGACAATTAGGCCCAACTGCCTCAAATTCATCATTTATGCTATGTCTGGATTACATGGCTCTGTCAACAGAGCCATGTAAACAAGTTTACCCGGCATAGGCAAAGAAGCGGGGATTTAAATAATCCCCGCTTAATTAAAATAAACATGACCGCTGTGCTGTGCCGACGATCAGCTGATCCGGCACAGCGTGGCAGTCTAGACACGGATCTGTCGGCTGGGGAAGCCTTTGCCAACCGATCCTGTAAACCTCGTTGACTGAGCCATGTAGTCTAGACATACCCCTAATGTTAGAAACCATCTTGAAAAAGTTGCCCTAAATTGCTTCCCTTTGGTCACTCTACAGAGCCAAGATTACAGAAAAGTTCTCGCTTAGTCCACTACTCAAAACTGCTGCTTCTGCAAATTAATCTGACACACTTACCTGTTAGTATTTCATCCATTTTGTCCACAACTAATTTTGCATTGTCCATAGTAAAGCACAGTGGAGGCTTGAACTTAAGCACATTTCTTCCTGGACCATCCGTACTCAACAGAATATATTCTCTCTTTAATCTAGAGAAGGAAGAAAATTTGTCTAAAAATCTAAATGTGTAATGATTTGACCTAAAATACATGTTTCAGAGACCTTAAAGTGCCACTGGATTCCTTCGTGCTTTTATCCAAAGTATTATTCATTTAGGTTTCTTAATTTTTAAAAATACTAGGGCGCTAGTTTTCTGCTGGGTCCGGGGTCCCGAGCATAGCAAGAAGCCACTGCTGCCACCACCTGGCCCTCCTGTAGGGAGGTAGAATCTGCCCAGGCCAGGCTTTAGGGTGGCTTTACTAGTCCCCGAACAGTGTCTGGGGCAGGCAGGCCATGCGAGGGCAGTGCCTATGGGACGCCAGTGACGTGATGACGTCTCTCTGTTGTCCCATGAGAAAAACTTTTTTTGTAACTATATATATATATATATGGAGAGAGAGATAAATTACAGCAGTTTTAGCACGATTGAGACTTCAGAAAATTTCTCCATTTTCCAAGTGTTGTGATTCAATCATTGCAATTTGTGTCAAGTTGTAGAACATCATCTAATATTCAGGATATTTATATAGCTTAGATGAGAGGGGATTACTTTCAGCTATATTTAACAGAAATTCAGAATAAGGATTGCATGCAAGATGTAATCTCAATCACATTTTCTGTATACACTGACATTTTATATACCAAGTGTCAGTACATTGTAATTTGAAACTGTCAAAATCCTCAATACTTATAGTTTAAAGAAACACCAACCCACAGACATACACTAAAGTTAAGTTTTTTTTTAAGAAAACAGGCATTATTGAAGGCTCAGTACTTTTGGTTGTCTTTATTTAAAAAACAAAAACAAACAAACTTATACCTATGAACTTCATGCAAACTTCCCAATGACATCAGTGAGTCTTCAGAGACAGGTAAGACATCACTTTGAGTCAGATGTGGAAATTGGCAAGTTCAGTCTTAAAATGCATTTCATTATCTTGCTGTGAGCATTAACACTTTAGTCCCCAGTGGCTATGCACAGTTAAATAAATATATATATATATTTATTTATTTCTGTATAACTATTGAATAATTAGTACTTGCCTCTCTTAAAATGAAATTTCATTAAATGCTACAACATTGTGAAATCACATAGATTAATGTTCAGTAGAATATGTATGTAACTTTTTAAAAAAATACCTTGTTATTAAATACTCAGCTTCTTCTGTAGCTGGAGTCCTTTTTTCTTGATCTTTTATCAAGTCCACTCCAATAAATAATCCAACACCTCTTTTAAATAAAAAACAGGTATTCAGTCTAAAATCAGCAAGAAGGAATTAGGAATAATTTACCAAAAAAAAGTGGAGCAGCAACTGTCCTATGAGACTATATTGTTGTTGTATTTTCATATTTCACTAATTCTATTATTAACATGATTAGTTTGTTACAGGGATAAAAAAGATAATTGCCTTGACAGGGAATAGGTGCTGTAATTAATATAGCAAGACAAGATTTTAAATTGTTTTTCCCCATTCACACTAATTCCATGATTGAGTTCAAGTTGTGTGTGTGAATTTACTGATAGCAGAATCAAATCTGTGTTTTAACCTGGACCTGGCAGTGTCATCACAAGGGCATCAGTTTTTAGGTCAATTTAAGCCTACGGGTTTTAGTCAAATGAAAGTTAGTCAATTTTTGTAGTATCTTATATAAGGGGGCAAAAGAGGTATATCCAAAGAAGCATTTGTGATGCTAATTTGGTGAATAACACAGACCCACTGTGGTTCCATGTTAGAATGTCAGTTGATGCTAAACACTTCCTGTTCATACAAGATTTGAAGACCTTGCCACCATCTTTGTTGCCCCAATTTGATAAATGCTGACCTCAAACAATCTGAAAGCATGAATTGGTAGTTGATACCTGACATCACCAATGATAGGATGCTTGATCTTCTGCTGATTTAGTAATTCCATCAAGAAGTTGCCTACTTGTGTAGCATGGGCTTGAAGATGTTCCTTCTTAATCACATCTAAAACTGCTAACCCTATTGCACACGAAACAGGATTTCCTCCAAACTAAGCTCAGGAGAAAAGAAAGACAAAATCAAGCACACAAAAATTAAAAAATTAAATGGTGGCCTTTAAATATCAATAAATATTTCAACATTACAGCTGAAGACATTCCTCCATTGTTTGTGGATAAGTGGTCAATATTGCTTTCAGTTAACATGTTACCTATATCCTACAGGACTGTGACACTTAAATAGTAATGCCCTCATTCACATTTAGTTAATCATATAACCAGAAAACAAGGATTTGGTTCATTCTCTTTACTTACTGTATTGAAGTACTCCACTCCGGTGTCCGCAAATGCTTCTGCAATTTCTTTTGTTGTTGCTACACAGGCAATGGGGTGCCCATTTCCCATTGGTTTGCCCATAGTGATAATATCAGGAACGAAATCCTGTCCCTGCAGTTGGAATGCCCAAAAACATTTGCCAACCCTGCCAAAGCCAATCTGAATTTCATCAGCAACAAAAACTCCTCCTGCCTGGTGTACATGTCTGTAACATAATAGGGACATATTAGACTTTTTGCACTCAATTACCATCATAAAATTGTGATACAGGTTGTACCTTCCTGATCTGGCAGTTCTGGGAGGATAGGGGAGGAGTTGCTAGATGCAAAGCCTGGCTTTTTCCCATCACTGCTCCAATCTGGGAGCACCCATGGGAATGCTGGACCACAGATGTTGCTGGACTATGGAAGTCAGAACTATAGGGCTGCATCTAGACTGGCATTATTTTGCAGAAATACTTTTAATGGAAAAGTTTTTCCGTTAAAAGTATTTCCACAAAAGAGCGTCTAGATTGGCACGGATGCTTTTGCGCAAAAAGTGCTTTTGCGCAAAAGCATCCGTGCCCAGTACAGACGCGCTTTTGCGCAAGAAAGCTCTGATGGCCATTTTAGCCATCGGGCTTTCTTGCACAAAATATTAAGGTGGCTGTCTACTCTGGCCCTTTTGCACAAGAGGGCTTATCCCTGAGTGGTAGCGTCAAAGTATTTGCGCAAGAAGCACTGAATTCTTACATTAGAACGTCAGTGCTCTTGCGCAAATTCAAGTGGCTAGTGTAGACAGCTGGCAAGTTTTTGCACAAAATCTTGCCAGTCTAGATGCACCCTAGAAGTCCAATTTGTACTTTAATTGATCCTCTCTCCCTGGGGCAGCCTGCTGCCTGACCCAGCCTCTCTCGAGCCTCCCGCCCCCCAGGCATCCTTTAGGTAGGATGGGGGAAGCCTGATGCTCTCCTCCCCACCCCAATTCATATGGGGACATTGCCGACACGAGCAACACGGGGAAAATCTTCTAATTATATAAAAATAGCAATAACATTGCTGCCCTGAAGAGCTTACAGTTCAATAGGACAAAAGCTTTTTATGTAAAAAAGGATATTAAACCTAGTATGTTTAGGCTGTTTTCATGTTGTGATAAAGATAACGGTTTAATCTCTGTTTAGATAAATAAAAATACAAATCAGATATAAAGGGCTCTGAAGGGATCTACTTACTCTGCTATCTTATGGAAATAACCTGCTGGTGGAATGATCTGACCACCAACACTTGGCAAGGATTCAACAAAAAATGCAGCAATCTGAAAGAGTAATGTGCAATATTTCAACTTGAGTAGTAAAAATTACTGCAGTAACAGTCAAGTTGCAGACTACATAGTGGATGAATATTTTTTAAACTATTATCTGATCATTCTCAAAGTATTACATGGATACATAGTCAAATCTTCAGAAATTATATCTGATAGATCTAATATGAAAATATAATTGTCATTTATGCAATCTAAATGCTTTTTAGTTCCCTAACGGATTGTCCTGAAATGTTTGTTGCTGCTTCATAAACTCTACTATCCCTTCCTACAACCAAAGAGTCAGCAAATAGTTTAGGAAAGATTTTTTTCACCTTTCTGCCCCTTTTTTGTGCTTGTTCAATTATTTTTTTCACTTCATTGGCATAGGCTAGGGCTGAATCTTTATGGTCTTCTCTGTATATTCCACGGTATGTGTCTGGGAGAGGAGCCTGAACAAGGGAACAATGCCTTATAATTAGTATGCCACAGATGAGATGGATAATACATTAAATGAAACACATATACTGTTTAGGTTGCAGTATGTACATACCACGTGGACCCATTCCTTTTGTCCTTCTAGGTTTCTGAATTTATATGGACTTATGTCAATCAGAGATGTCAGATGTCCATGGTAAGCACTTAAAACAAAACAATGTAACAGTAATTTCCAGATTATCACATTTCTCTAGAATTAATCTGGTTTGCACCCTTTTGTGTCAGGCAGTCCATCTGAACAAGAGATGGTCATATGGCCCATAATAGCTTTGCACAGGACTTTATCAACCAGGACCACTATATTTGGGATTTTGGCTCTTACTTTCTACTCCTGCTGACTTTGTAAAAGACACTGACATCAATTCCCCCACATCTTTGGCTTTTCAGTGGCCCGCTTCTACCATCACAGCTATCAGGAGGAGTATTACACCTGCTAGCAGCGATCAGGAATCAAACCAAAATTCTAGATTAGGGAGTCTCAAGCTCCCGGCCCGCTGACAATTCCTGGCCAGAGCAGTTGCGCAATCCAGTCTGGGAGTCCCTGTCATTGTTCTGCCCTCTCCCCTCACCCATGATACCCCATCTCCAAGGACACAGACTCAAGGATTACCAGGGTGGGAGGGCATGGCGCAGGGAAGCAGCAGCAGCAGCAGTCACACTTACACTTCCTCCCCTCCCCCAGTGATCCCTGAAGCTATGTCCTTGGGGGACAGGGTACAATGGCGGGAAAGAGGGAGGTGATGGCAGGAAGGGGCTTGGAGTATGGTAACTGACATCCCTCTAACTCCCTCCAGTCCCCGGTCTGCTGGGACTCCTGGACTGGACTGTGCAATTCCTCCAGGGATGTTCCACGGGCCAGGAGTTTGAGACTCCTGACCAGATGCAGAATCTTTGCTGTTTCTTATGTCTTCTTTGCTAGCTACCATATTTTAAAGATAACTGTAACAAAAAAGAAGAAAGGTCTCTAGTTCCATTTACACTTCTACAGGGCAAAATTATGTCAAAGAAATTTGCAGTTGGGATAGCTGAATGAAATTGTGCCTTCTCTTTAGAAATGGTAATTAAAATTACTAAACAAAAATAAAATATAGAAAATATTATTAAACAATGTTTGATATACTTACTGGTCCAGAACAATAATATCTTCATGTTTTGTATATTGCCGTGCCAATCTCAAGGCAAGATCATTGGCTTCTGATCTGCAATTGAAAGTTCAATAGTTATTTCACTGCACATGGGCAGGATTTGAAACCTTGGCCTCCCCTGCTCTGCCATTTTGCATTCACAAATGACGTCAGTTACACATGAAATGATCACACGTGCAGAACTGTAGGCCACTGGACTGGAATAGGACTATGATACTACATTGCACTTTCTAGAAACAAGTTTAGCAGGATTAGAGTGTTTACTGGTAAATGTGTGTGCAATGCTCAACCAGATGGAAAAATATCTCTATCTGTGATAATCAAAATAAAAATGCTGCTTGAGAATTCATTTGAATTAAGGATATTTACTTTGTATATTCTGATGCAACACTGACAATTTATGCTTTAAAATTTTTCTTAATGTTTACTAGGGGGCTGTGCCTGCTGCTCACTATGCTCGCCAACCCCCTTCTCTCTGGCGGCTTTTGCAGCTGGAGAGCGTGATGTCATTCTATCGTCAGGCAGGAAAATCTTAATTAAAAAAGATATATATACTAGCCAATTAGCCCATCATAAGACGGGATTTTCAGGTCTCTCCTCCACATCGGTCTTCTTTCCTGAGCCTCCGGTCTCTCTCTCTCTCAGCTCTCCGCCTTCTGCCTCTCTCTCCGTCTCTCTCTTTCTCTTCTCCCCCTCCTGCCTCTCACTCTCTCTCCGCTCTCCTCTGTCTCCGTCGGGGATGCACACTCGTCCAAGCCCCGCTCCTTGGGTGTGTACGTCATCACCCCACCCCCCTTAGCCTCCTGCCGTGGTGCTCAGCTGACTTCTGCACCGCCATGCGGGAGCAAGCAACACAAACAGCCTCTTTCTCTTCTCCCCCTCCCGCCTCTCACTCTGCGTTTCTCTTCTCCTCCTCCTGCTGCGTGTCTCTCACTCTCTCTCTTGCTCTGTCCTCCACCTCCTCTCCCCCTCCTCCGTTCTCCTCTCTGTCTCCTCCATGTCCTCTGTGTCTGCTCGGCTTTCCTTCTTTTGAATCCGGCGCCCTTTCCTGACGTCAGAGAAGCACGCTTGTCCAGACCCGCCCCCTGGCTGTTCCCTCTGGGCGGCGCTGTTGCCTCCCACCATGGCGCTTGGCTGACTTCTGTGCCACTTAGCCGGGCCGCCGTGCGGGAGCAAGCAGCGCAAGCGGCCGCTTGGGCCCCATGCTGCTTGGGGAGTGCGGACCCCAAACTGCTGCTTGCGCTGTTTGCTCCCGTGCGGCGGTCTGACAGAATGGCGCAGAAATTAGCCAAGCTCCACGGCGAGAGGCAACAGCGCCGCCTAGAGGGAACAGCCAACGTTTCAGCGTTACAGAGTCACAGACATTGGGCTACTATATATATGATATACCGAGACAGAGATCATTAAATAATTGTCTCCCCTCCTTCTGATTCTCATAACTGAATTTTAAACAGTTAAAAAAAATTTAATTCTGCAACACTAACAGTGGGTGAGTACATAATATAAATAACCACATAATATACATTACCGTATTTTTGCTGGAAAGTTAAAAAAAAAATCTGTGGGGGACATGAATTCTTTACACAACACAGTGACTTAGAATTCCCTCAGAAGTATTAAGCTCAGGAATATGCTCCCAGAGATGTTGTGAAATTCCCATCACTAGAGGTTTTTGAGAACAAGTTGGACAAGCATCTATCAGGGATGGTCAAGGGTTAGTAGGTTCTGTTTCAGTGCTGTGGGCTGAACTTGATTACCTGTCGAGGTCCTTTCCAGCCCTTCTTTTCTATAATTTTATGATAAATCAGTTTGGACCAGAACCTACAGAAGATACTGCTATGAAAATTAAATTTATTACAGTAAATGCAGTCAGCGTATGCATAGTACTGCTCTTAAAGATTAATAGGTTTTTTTTCAATTGATTGAGCAAAGCCTTGGAAATAGAATAAAATGCTGTTAATTAGAATCCTCAATAGTTTTTTGTATCAAAAGTGTATTTTACTTTACATCCTAATATATAGTATATTTTCTTGGCAAAAGTAGTTAGCTGGAATTGCATGTATTAGTTGACAGGAACATTATGGAATTTAGTCTTGTTCCGTAGTATAATATTGATAACATACTATCCAATTCTAGATGGTACATAGGGAACACTAATAGAAACATTTAAATGCATCATTAAATGTAACAATACCTTTACACATTTCAGCATCCAGTACGTGAATATCCCCATACCTCAAAAATAATTTAAAACAAGATTGGCAAGTCCTATGTAAACCAGAGTAATCACAGGCAGAGCAAGAAAAGGGGGGGGGGACTTCAGTATGACACACAAAAAGAAACAGAGATTGTGTTCTCAATGTTTTCTTTTGCAAGCTGTTGTTTTAAAGCTTTTCAAAACATTGTGTTTCTGTAGTAATTTAATAATTTCAACCTTTAGAGTGACAAGTTTAAAAAGGATAAACTCCAGCAGCTCTCTCAAATAGTCTAAAATTATCTCGTCTGCAAAAGCAGACAAGACATAATCTACACCCATATAAGATCCTGCAGTTAACTACTTAGAATGAAGTGCAGCGATAGCTAAGAGTAAAGATATATATCACTAATAATACCTCCTACTTACCCTGAATTCAAAAAATAGAATGTGCACAGCTTCTCAGGCAATGTTTTAGAAAGTCTCTTTGCATAATCCACCAAATTGTCATGGAGATAGCGGGAATTTGTATTTAGCAACTGATTCTGTTCATGTGCTGCTTTTATTACATCCGGATGGCAGTGCCCAACTGGGGGAAAAAAAAAGTTTTTATGGTCTCTCCATTTATACATGTTCTTTCCCCGTGACATTTGTTGTTGACAAATAGCTAAATATACACTGATTTGCTCCTATATTTCTTATGGTGCAGAAGTTGACACTGTTCCCTAAAGTGTAGCAGTAGTGTATCTGTCGATGGGTAAAGACAGTGCTGGGATGCCTGCAGAGTCTTCATTAGGTAGCATCATCTGATCTACAAGTTCTTAAGACTGTATTTGTTAAAGAAATGTTTTAGTTCATATTCTTAATCAAATTTCCTGGATCCTGAGAATCAGCTTGCTAAATCAGTGGTAGTATCTAGTTTTATCTGCTGAATGATGTCTGTGCACTCTGCCCTCTAAATCTGTCAAAGCCTTGACCACTTTGTCCAATTCCAAATACATGCATGAGGAAACATCTGCTTTTTCCACCAAAGCAACAGTCAAGGAGTAAGCAAAGAAACAGACTTAAAAGAAAATAAACACAAATCACCTCCCCCGTCTTAGGGGAGAATATACAGAAATCGCACTTGCAAAAATAGCTGTAAGTGCGGGGGGTTGGAAGTTGGGCAGTCGCATGTCGAGGGTTTCGTGTACACATATCCAGAAAGCAAGGTTTGTCAATAGTATTGCCCACATTACAGACCCAAGAAATGTTTTCCTCCCTTTTCCATTCAAATGACATACAAATTGAGCTTTGGTAATGAAACATTTTTTTATTCTGAGTTCTCCCAGAATATTGTCTTAATTTAGAATCAGTTGGTATTGAATGATATTTTAAACTTACCATGAGACACATTGTTGATACAGTCAAGGTATTCTCTTCCATGTTCATCATATATATACTGGCCTTTTGCCCTAACAATCTTCACTGGATCTTCAGGAAAAAAGAGCTTGCAAGAAGAGCTGTATCAAATATCAAAACCACAAAATGTTTTGAATTATATAAGATCCCGAAAAAAAAATCTAAAAGTCACATAGAACTAACTAGTGCCGATCTTTCTGTAACTTTAACCAAAGGCAAAAAGGAAGGAATATTTTCTATAAATAAATTAAATATGAACTGCTTCCATTCTATTTCAGTCCCCCTTAAGCAAAGGTTGAAGAAGAGAAACAGACCTTGTACTATGCTCTAAGAGTCAGCCAACAGATTTTGGTTGACCAACAGTGAAAATCAACTTCAGAATCAAGAGCCCTTTACAGAATCGGAGCCTAGTTTCCGATTACCAAACTCAAGTATGTAAACATAGAGACTTGTATTTAATGTTTCATCAGATCTCAATTGATTTGGTCCCCTCTTTATATTATTACATTGAAATTGAGAGCTGTATCTCTTCACCCCCTTTGTCTTCTTCAAGAGGCATATATGCCAAATTCCAGTAAGGTCTCCTCCCAAATCTGATCTTTTCAACTTTTCATAATTTTATCTTCCTCGTATTCTCCATATGGTTATGATCCTAGAAATGGAATCACATGGGTGGACCTGTGCCCACATGCACTCCAGTGACTTGTTGCTGCAATCTGCCAACAGGGTTTTATTTGAAATACTAGGGCCTGCCTAACTGAGCAGCATTTTTTTATAATGAGGTGCCCAAACCAGTAAATCTAAGTGTGCCTGTCCAAGGAAGCAGAAGAGAGAACTGCAAGTACACCTCTGAATACCTGTATCAATTTGTGTGGGTTTACTAAAATCATATATTTTATGGCCTCTATTGCTGTGTTTAAGACCAACACAAACCACAGAGGACACTGATTGACCTTGCACACAAAATGCTGTCAATTACAAAGTAAATAATAATGAAAAAAAGAGAAAAAAATGTTCTCTACTCAAGTCAGAGACAGCAATCTTAAAGGTAACAATAGGTAAACATAGTGTGATTTTTAAGTTTACAATGTTCCTTTAGCAGATGAGAAGATTGGAAACGAGATTTCTTAATAAGTCCTAATTGGAAATTCCAAAGTTGAGGACTGTGGACAAATCAACTATGAGATTAAATTCTGAAAGGGGTGTTCATGTTGTGTGTATGACTGAAACCATGACATTCCCCCTACTGCTCACTTTCAACCCGTATTCGTCTTGTCATAAAACCTTTACGGGGTAAGAAAAGCTAAATGAGAAAAATCTGTCCTTAGTAACATCAGAGGGGTAGCCGAGTTCCTGTGTAGTGTAGACGCTGGTATAGTTTTGTCGACAAAAGTCCACTTTTGTCGACAAAACTCAGTACAGGCAGTCCCCGGATTACGTACAAGATAGGGATTGTAGGTTTGTTCTTAAGTTGAATTTGTATGTAAGTTGGAACTGGTACATATTGTAGGGGAAACTCTAGCCAAACATTTCTCCAGAGCTCAGTTTTATTCTCCCACACCTCACTTCCCTCAGTCCTTTATTCTCAAGCTGAGGTGTCTGCTGAGAAAAGCCGCTCCTCGTCTCCCTGGTCTGCTGGGGGCGGGGCGCTAGCTTCGCGTCTCCCTGGTTTGCTGGGGGGAAGCAGCTAGTGCGGGGTTGCCTCACCCCGTTTGTAAGTAGGGATCCGATGTAAGTCGGATCCATGTAACCCGGGGACTGCCTGTAATCCACTTCTTCAGATGGCTGAAGTATTAAAAGTCCAGATCCAAGAATAAATAAGGGAAGGGGCGGAAGGAAGGAGAAAAAAAGACAGTGAATAGACTGTTTAAGTAGTTAAAAGAGGCTGATAAGAACAATTAGCACCTCCGTTGTTTGGTTGGTTGGTTAAGTCATTAGGATGTGGAAGGTAGTGTGCAAGCCAGCCAATCTCTGTTCATTCCATTCTGATAAGAATTAAAACTTGTAAATGAAGTTAAGTTCCAACCTTTCCTTGTGTATTTGGCTTGTGGAATTGCCCTGAAACAACACGGTGACTTGGAGGTCCATTAATGAGTGCCCTGGCAGATTAAAGTGTTCTCCAGCACATTTCTGTGTGTTGCCTTTTTTGATATCTAATTTGCGTCCGTTAATTCTTTCCCATGGAGACTGCCCAATCTGGCCAATATATATGGCAGTGGGGCATTGCCTGCAGTTGATAGCATAGATCACATTAGTGGATGTGCAGTTAAATGAGCCCCTGATGTTGTTGGGTCCAGTGATGTGTGGGCAGTGTTGGCACCAGGACTGATTGCAGGGGTGGGTTCCTGGCTGGTTATGATGGTGGTGTGTTGTGTGATTACTGGAAAGAATTTGTTTGAGGTTAGGGGGTTTGTAGGTGAGGATTGGCCTCTGAGAGTGAGGGGGTCATTTTCCAGGATAGGTTGTTGATTGTTGATAATGCATTTGAGGGGTTTAAGTTGTGGGCTGTAGGTGATGACAAGCAGAATTCTGTTGTTTTCTCTTTTTGGCCTGTCTTGAAGTAGTTCGTGTTTGGGTACTCTTGGTTTTGTTGATCTGTTTTTTCACTTCTCCAGATGGGTATTTCAGTTTTAAAAATGCTCTATATAGATCCTGTAGGTGTTTGTCTCTGTCTGTGGGATTGGAGCAAATCCGGTTGTATTTTAGGGCTTGGCTGTATACAATAGATTGAGAAATGTGTCTGGGATGGAAGTTAGAAGCATGAAGGTAAGTGTAGTGATCGGTATGTTTCCGGTATAGGGTGGTGGAAATTTGCCCATCATTTAATTGTATTGTAGTGTCAAGGAAGTGGCTCTCTCGTGTGGATTGATCCAGGCTGAGGTTGATGGTGGGGTGGAAGTTGAAGAATTTCACAAGGATCTCTTTTCCTTGGGTCCATATGATGATGATGTCATCAATGTTGTAGCGTAAGTAAAGAAGGGTGCTGGGGGCGAGAGCTGAGGAAACGTTGTTCAAGGTCAGCCATAAAGACGTTGGCATATTGTGGGGCCATGCGGGTGCCTATGGCTATACCGTTGACTTGAAGATACAAATTGTCTCCGAATCGGAAGTAGTTGTGGGTGAGGACAGTCGCAGAGCTCTGTAACCAGGTGTGCAGCGGTGTCATAGAGAATGGTGTTCCTGATAGCCTGTAATCCGTCTTCATGTGGAATGTTGGTATTAAGAGCTTCTACATCCATGGTGGCCAGAATGGTCTTTTCAGGAAGATTATTGATGTTTTGTAGTTTCCTCAGGAAGTCAGTGGTGTCTCAAAGCTAGCTAGGAGTGCTGGTAGCATAGGGTCTGAGGAGAGAGTCAAAATAGCCAGATAATCCTGTTGTAAGTGTGCCAATACTTGAAATGATGGATTGTCCAGGATTTCCAGCTTTGTGTATCTTGGGTAGCAGATAGAAAACTCCTGGTCAGGGAGGAGGGGGAGGGTGTCAGTGTAAATCTGGTCCTGAACAGCATCAGGGAGCTTCATGAGCAGTTGTTTTAGGTATTCTTTAGTGGGATCACAGGAGAGAAGCTTGTAGAATGTGGTGTTGGTGAGCTGTCTAGTCACCTCCTGTTCATAATGACTACAGCGCCCCATTTGTCAGCCTCTATTTATGATGTTAAAATTGTTTGTGAGGCTGTGTATAGCATTATGTTCTGCATGATTGAGGTTATATTATATGATGATGTTTACTGACAATGTCAGCCCGTGCATGTTTGCAGAAGCAATCTGTTCACTGTCTTCTTTCTCTTGTTTTCCCTCTCCTCTCCCACCCCTTCCCTTATTTATTCTTGGATCTGGACTTTTAATACTCCAGTCATCTGAAGAAGTGGATTATACCCACGAAAGCTCATGATACCATCTACATGTTTTGTTAGTATTTAAGGTGCTACTAGACTATTCGTTGTTAAGTTTTTCTTTGTAACATTAATATACTGTTTCACATAAAAACAATAGCAAGGAGCAAGCAACACGGGAATGCAGGGGCAAGATTAGAAAGGCAAAGGCACAAAATGAGATCAAACTAGCTACAGGCATAAAGGGAAACAAGAAGACCTTTTATAAATACATTAAAAGCAAGAGGAAGACCAAGGACAGGGTAGGCCCACTGCTTAGTGAGGAGGGAGAAGCAGTAACAGGGAACTTGGAAATGGCGGAGATGCTCAATGACTTCTTTGTTTCGGTCTTCACCGAGAAGTCTGGAGGTGTGCCTAACGTAGTGAATACAAGCAGAGAGAGGGTAAGTTTAGAAGATAGGATACACAAAGAACAAGTTAAAAATCACTTAGGAAAGTTAGATGTCAGCAAGTCACCAGGTCCTGATGAAATGCATCCCAGGATACTCAAGGAGCTGATAGAGGAGGTATCTGAGCCTTTAGCTATGATCTTTGAAAAATCATGGCAGACAGGGGAGATTCCAGAAGACTGGAAAAGGGCAAATATTGTGCCCATCTATAAAAAGGGGAATAAGAACAACCCAGGAAATTATAGACCGGTCAGTTTAACGTCTGTCCCAGGGAAGATAATGGAGCAGGTAATTAAGGAAATCATATGCAAACACTTGGAAGGTAATAAAGTGATAGGGAATAGCCAGCATGGGTTTGTGAAGAACAAGTCATGCCAAACTAATCTGATAGCTTTCTTTGATAAGATAACGAGCCTTGTGGATAAGGGAGAAGCGGTGGATGTCATATACCTAGACTTTAGTAAGGCATTTGATACGGTCTCGCATGATATTCTTATTGATAAACTAGGCAAATATAACTTAGATAGGGCCACGATAAGGTGGGTGCATAATTGGCTGGATAACCGTAGTCAGAGAGTTGTTGTTAACGGTTCTAAATCCTGCTGGAAAGGGATAACAAGTGGAGTTCCTCAAGGGTCTGTTTTGGGACCCGTACTGTTCAATATCTTCATCAATGATGTAGATATTGGGATAGAGAGTACTCTTATTAAGTTTGCAGATGATACCAAACTGGGTGGGGTTGCAACTTCTTTGGAGGATAGGGACATAATTCAAAATGACCTTAGCAAGTTAGAGAAATGGTCGGAGGTAAACAGGATGAGGTTTAATAAGGAGAAATGCAGAGTGCTCCACTTAGGAAGGAACAATCAGTTCCATACATACAAGATGGGAAGCGACTGTCTAGGAAGGAGCATGGCGGAAAGGGATCTAGGGGTCATAGTGGACCACAAGTTGAATATGAGTCAACAGTGTGATGCTGTTGCCAAAAAAGCAAATATGATTCTAGGTTGTATCAACAGGTGTGTTGTAAGCAAAACTCGTGAAGTCATTCTGCCGCTCTATTCTGCACTAGTTAGGCCTCAGCTGGAGTACTGTGTCCAGTTCTGGGCGCCACATTTCAAGAAAGATGTGGAGAAATTGGAAAGGGTACAGAGAAGAGTGACAAGAATGATTAAAGGTCTAGAGAAGCCTATGAAGCCAGGCTTCATGAACTGGGCTTGTTTAGTTTGGAAAAAAGAAGATTAAGGGGGGACATGATAGTGGTTTTCAAATATCTAAAAGGGTGTCACAAGGAGGAAGGTGAAAATTTGTTCCTCTTGGTTTCTGAGGACAGGACATGGAGTAATGGGCTTAAAGTGCAGCAGGGGAGGTTTAGATTGGACATTAGGAAAAAATTCCTAACTGTCAGGGTGGTCAAATATTGGAATAAATTGCCAAGGGAGGTGGTGGAATCTCCCTCTCTGGAGATATTTAAGAACAGGTTAGATAGACATCTGTCAGGGATGGTGTAGACGGAGCTTGGTCCTGCCTTGAGGGTGGGGGGCTGGACTCGATGACCTCTCGAGGTTCCTTCCAGTCCTATTATTCTATGATTCTATGAATCTGTTTGTTACATTCAACAGCTCTAGGAGGCTTTGCAGTCTTTTTGAAGTGCAAAGAAATTTCCAACAGTTTATTTTCGTTTGTTGTCAATTACTGAACTAGGCTGAGGCAATCTAGTACAATAAAGTTACTTCTGTTTAGTATAATGTCTCAGCTAAAGTTTTGTGTCTGGGTTGTAGTTTTATAAAAATGAAGCAGAAAATGTGAAATTAAAGGTAAATGGGGACATTGTGCAATATAAACAAAAAGTAGTCTCATAACACCATATGTATTTATTTAAATACTTTGAAAATATGAACTAAGCAATGACATATTTGTTTTGAAAATAATGTTTTTCAGTCCTTATAAAGTACTAAGTCTGATTATCATCTCAGCTCCACCAGCATAAATACATATAAAGCACATGAACAGCACTAATGTTATTTCTAAATTATGCAGTTTTGTTAATCCAAAATAACCATTCTGGATTTAGAGTGGTGGAATTGAGGCTACCTCTTTGCTTATGGAAGTGTGAGGACTACAGACACAGCATGCCCAGCTAGCCTAGGTATAAAGTCCATGAGACACGGTTTAGGCAGGAGTTCCAGAAACATTTTTATAGTGGGGGATCCTGATGGTGGAATCCGTGTATCTGGCATTTGTTAATGCTATTTCAAGCTAGGAGTTGCAGCAGCAGCCCCCGTTCCAGCATTAACAGGCTTCCGTGGGTAGAATGCCCCATATACCTGAACCCCCAGGTCCTATGCCCTACAAAGCTCTTTATATACTGAAGCAGCACCTCTCCTTCTACATTACCATGTTTTGCACTGTAGTGTCCCACTGCCTTTCCCCCCTGCCCAAGCCTCTTGCTGCAGGATGTCATTAGACACCATGGGGACAACGGCAAGCGCTGTCCAAGTGGCAAAACTAAGGCCGTTTGGGTGGTTACATCATCATAAAGCAGGTAGAGACCTCAGGAAGTCATCAAGTCCAGCCCCCTGCCCAAGGCAAGATCAGTTCCAACTAAATCAATCCAGCCAGGGCTTTGTCCAGTTGGGACTTATAGGGATGGAGATTCCACCACCTCCCTAGGTAACCCATTCCAGTGCTTCACCACCCTCCTAGTGAAATAAGTTTTCTTAATATCCAACCTAGACCTCCCCTACTGTAACTTGAGACCATTACTCCTTGTTCTGCCATCCGTCACTACTGTGAAAAGCCTTTCTTCATCTTCTTTGGAACCTTCCTTCAGGAAGTTGAAGGCTGCTATCAGATCCCCCCTCACTCTTCTCTGCTGCAGACTAAACAAACCCAAATCCCTCAGCCCCCTAATCATTTTGGTTGCCCTCCACTGAACCCTCCCCAATCCCTTCTATAGTGGAGGGCTCAGGGTCCACATCCTTTCTATAGTGGGGGCTCAGAACTGGACACAATACTCCAGATGTGGCCTCACCAGAGCCAAATAAAGGAGAATAATCACTCCTCTAGATCTGCTGACAATGCTTCTCCTACTGCAACCTAATATGCCATTAGCCTTCTTGGCTACAAGGGCACACTGTTGACTCATATCCAGGTTCTCACCCATTATAATCCCCATGTCCTTTTCTGCTGAACTACTAGCCAGTCAGTCCCCAGCCTGTAACAATGCTTGGGATTCTTCTGTCCCAAGTCCAGGACTCTGCACTTATCCTTGTTGAATCTCATTAGGTTTCTTTTGGCCCAATCCTCTAATCTGTCTAGGTCACTCTGGACCCTATCCCTGCCCTCCAGCATATCTACCTCTCCCCCTATCTTAGTGGCATCCCCAAACTTGCTGAGGGTGCAATCCATTCCCTCATCTAAGTCATTAATAAAGATGTTGAACAAAACCAGTCCTACACCCGATCCTTGGGGCACTCCACTAGAAACCGACCACCAACCTGACATCGAGCCGTTGATCACTACCCATTGGCTCAAACATTTCTATTCATGTTAGTCCATTTATCCAATCCATACTCCCTTAACTTGCTGGCAAGAGTATTGTGGGAGACTGTATCAAAAGCTTTGCTAAAGTCAAGGTATATCACATCCACTGACTTTCCCATATCCATAGAGCCAGTTACCTCATCATAGAAGCTAATCAGATTGGACAGGCATGACTTGCCCTTCGTGAATCCATGTTGACTATTCCTGATCACTTTCCCCTCTTCCAAGTGCTTCAAAATGGATTCCTTGAGAATCCCCTCCATGATTTTTCCAGGGACTGAGGTAAGGCTGACTGGTCTGTAGTTCCCTGGATTGTCCTTCTTCCCTCTTTTAAAGATGGGCGCTACATTTGCCTTTTTCCAATCATCAGAGATCTTTCCCAATCTCCATGAGTCTTCAAAGATAATGGCCAAAGACTCTGCAATTACATTTGCCAACTCCCTTATTACCTTCAGATGCATTAAATCCGGGCCCATGGATTTGTGTATGTTTAGCTTTTCTAAATAGTTCCTAACTTGTTCTTTCCCCACCCAGGGCTGTCCATCTCCTTCCCATACTGCGTTGCCTAGTGCACTAGTCTGGGAGCTGATCTCATCTGTGAAGACAGGCAAAGAAAGCATTAAGTACTTCAGCTTTTCCCACATCATCTGTCACTAGGTTACCCCCCTCATCCAGTAAGGGCCCCACACCCTCTCTGATTATCCTCTTAGTGCTAACATGCCTGTAGAAACCTCTCTTATTACCCTTCATATCTCTTGCTAGCTGCAATTCCAGTTACACTTTCACCTTCCTTATAACTCCCCTGTATTCTGGAGCAATATATTTATACTCCTCCCTAGTCATCTGCCCAAGTTTCCACTTCTTGTAAGCTTCCTTTTCACATTTAAGCTCACCAAGGATGTCCCCGGTAAGCTAATCTGGTTACCTCCCATATTTGTGTGTCTTATGGGCATCAGGATGGTTTTTTTCCTGTGCCTTCAATAAGGCTGCTTTACAATGCAGCCAGCTCTCCTGGACTCTTTCCTGCCCATCAAGTCTCTGAGGGAGTCTCAGTCTGCTCTTCTGACGTCCAGGGTGTGTATTTTGCTGCTCTCCTTTCTTCCTTTGGTCAGGATCCTGAAAGCTACCATCTCATGATCACTGCAGCTCCTCCCTCCCAGCATCCATTCATTACAAAGCGCCAGGCCCCAGAGAGGCTGGACGCTCGCGCTCCAGCGGCCAGGAGGCGCGGCGGAGCTTCACCCTCACGCGAAGCCGGGCAGAGTTGCGT